TGGGCTCTTTTTCCCGTTTCAAGAACTATTTAAATATTCTAAAGTTCATAACTAATTTTATAGCTCCAAAAAAATATGAAACTTGTAACGAAACTTTTTTTAAAAAAAATTGAGCTACCTTTTGGTGTTGTTCTTGGAAATATTTTTTTTTCTTTTATGAATTACATAATACAGATATAAACACACATATATACACACATGCACACTCATCTCTTGTAGGTTTTGTTTTCAGTTTAGGCCAGTCTCAGTAGGAGTTTCGTTAGAATTTCATTTGCATTTAATGAGCTGCCACATAAGCACTTTTAATGATGTGGCAAGATTTTTAAGAAGTGAGATGAAACTCTCTCGACACGAATACCAACTCTCTCTGAGTCATAAAATTAAATGCCTATAACACTGTAGAATGAAACTCTTCATTGAAAGTGGGTGTTTCATTCACGTTTCATTGCATTCTATGTGGCAGTTTTGAAAACAGCGTCGTGAAACTCTCCACTAAAACTGACCTCCTAGTTATGCTATCTACTTGTATTTTTCCCCTGATATATTCAATAAAACCGGCATTGTCAAACATCGTTCGTTAAAATACGGAAAGAAAGGGATAAGTGTACGTGCGAGTGTCTACGTGTACTGTGTAATTAAAAAAGAGAGAGGGCGTTGACATTTCAGTGGCAACTTCTCATAAAGTTACGACCAAGCGCATTTCAATAGACTCGCTGTAACGAAACGTCTCCTTGCATTGTTCTTGGTCTTACATTTTGCGTCCTGGTGATGTCCACATTTGTGTCCCTAAGTTTCTAGATGGATATATAATTTCGACCTAGAAGAGATATGGGTATGCATGGCAATCTTAAACCATTCGTCCTTCTCGTGAGTTGTGACACTGGATAGCAATAGCATCATCAACTGCTCATAATCTGTCTCCAAAAAAAAAAAAGGAAAATGCACAAATGATCGGAGCATATAACACATAAAGATGGTCAAATAAGACTGTCCGTATATTGTGTCATTGACAGCAGGTGGGATGTAGACATTTCAATAGCATGTTTCTTAGAAATTTACTATGCATTGCGTTGTTTAGATTGCAAGTTTTTTCACTCTCTCTTTATCACATCAAATCTTTGGACACATATATGGAGTATTAAATGTAGATAAAAAAATAACTAATTACACAGTTTGATTGTAAATTACGAGACGAATCTTTTGAGCCTAGTTAGGTCATGATTGGACAATAATTGTCAAATACAAACGAAAATGCTACAGTGCTAAATACTGATTCCTAACCCCAATCTAAACAAGACCCATGTTTCAAATTTCAATGTTTCATTGACAGGTGACACCATCTGTCCGTATAATGTGTCATTGACAGGTGGGACGATGTAGACATTTCAATAGCAAGCTTCTTCGAAATTACTGGACATATTTCATTGACAGTTGGGAGAGTTTTATATCATATACTAATAACGTACACGTTTCTCCTTTAGATATATAGATAGATGTGTGCAAGGAAGGTTAACGACTTAACGAGTTGGGCATGTCGTTACTACAGGTCAACGAGTCAATTCTGTGCCGCGGTAGGCTTGTGAACCACTATTTTCTTTTTCATGAGTAGACAAAGTTGCACTAAAACTAAGGATATGCGCGGCGGTTACACACCATCCAAAAATCTATGCTTCTGAACTAAGTTAGCAAAAGATTCATTCTTTCAAGTAGTTGTCAGCTAAGATTCACCAATGTAATAACATATGCACTGGATGTGCCATCATGTCCATCCATACATGCTCCAACAAAATTGACGAGGAGCTTTTTGTTAACCCAAAGATCAAGCCACACGTCTAAAGGCTTAGCGTGTCCAAATAGCACGGAGATTGGTCACAAGCTCTGTCAAGAAGCATGTCAAACAGTAAGTATAGGGTTGAAAATATTAGAGCAAAAAAGAATAAAAGAGTAAGAGAAAAAGGCATAAACGATAAATTTTACCTAATGGATCCCTCAATTGTCTATGAGCATATCTTCATCAAATCATGCATGTTTCCTAGAATTTGCTTCAGACCGGGACAAACATGGTCTAGCCGAGTTCAGAACCCAGCCTTAGCCGGCTTCCGAAGGGTGAACCTTCCCGAAGCCGTAATTTTCTCATTTGGACTCCAAATTAGGTGTTTTATATATGTTTTTCAATCATTTCGATGAGAAAAATGCAATGGTGAATTCAATTCTACATTTTGACAAAGTTGCCAAACCCAGCCTGCCCGACTTTCCAAGAAAACACAGGATTAGTCTCTGTCTGTCAATTTTGGTCATCGGCATATGACCCCTAGTTTTTTTAGTAAAGCTTGTATACTAAAAAACATTATTATAGACTAGAACAATCTAAGGTCAATTATCAACGACAATTCATCGACCATTTTGCTCTAAGGGCGATAAATATGTTACCAACCATTTTTCTATTTGAGTTTTGCTAGAATCACCTCCTCTTGTTGCTCCATCGATTATTTTTTACGCATCCACTGCAATCTTGTCTTTTGTGTGTGAGATAAGCCTGAGGGACACCACCTCGGCTGATTGAGATGTAGAAATTTCCTTAATGTCCTACTCACCTTATTATGATTTGAAGATGCAGCTTTGACCAGATTATTTCTATCAACAATCGGTAGTGGTGACGAATTATAGTTTGAGTATGTAACATGACACGAGATATAATGGTTGAGTCTTCTTCTTTAGAGAACTATAGAGGAGGGAAAGCTCATAAGAGAAAATAAAGATTGGTGGTTGGGTTGATAACAAGGGGAATACAAGAGGTGCCAACCAATCTTTTGTATTCGCATGGGTACCTTTGTTTTTCTTGTGATAGTATTTTGAAGTCTTAAGAGTGGTCACACTCGCATGCTGTGAGACCCAGTGGAACGAGGACTAATACTGTAGCACCAGCAGGCTGTGGGCTGGGCCGAGTTTGCGTGGCACTGTACTGACTGAACTTTAGTACCACATCGGAAGTTGAAGAAGAGCTGAACCAAGTTAAAAGCCTGGGACTAAGAGGTGAATAACTCCGGTGATCACCCTTTTTGCATGAAGCGAGGACGAAAATACAAAAGAGTTATTCGCAGGTTTGAATGGGCCCTTAGCCGTCTTCCGGGGTGGGGTGTTACACATGCGAAATCCAACGGCTAAAAGGGCTGGCAACTGTCAAAGTAAGTTGTCTGTGTCCATTTATTAGTTGTTTCCAGTGAAAATACGTTGTTTCAAAATTGTAGCTAGCAAAAGGACTACAAATTAAAATGCTAAAGTGAGTCACACTATCGGCTTATTATTTGCTTGCAAAGAAAAAATATGGTTGTAACCACATAGTGCGTAGAATCTGAGAATAAAAGTATAAAAAATGCTTGACAACATAATATAGCTAAAAGTCATTTATCAAAACTATTGGATTAATAGAGGCATTGGAGAAAAACATAAGCATATATGAGAGATGAGTAAAAGATAGTGTCTAATTTGTCTTTTATAATACCAAAGAGACTAATTTCTTTATTCCATCGTTTTTAGAAGCATCACCTATCCGTGTCAAGCTCTCTTTCCAGTCTTCAATTTGTCCATCTTCTTGCCAATAATAGTTACAACACTTAACCGTTTTCCTCGAAACAATTCACGCAGGGGAGGGAGAGGAGGGGGAGGGGGATGCAACCTAATATCGTTGTCCACTCGCCTCGAGCATCTCCATATATTAGCAAAGGCTTACCTGGCTCATACGTTGTGCTATTGTGTCGTCAACCCATCCATAAAGTGGCATTAAGACTTGGTCTGTCAAATGCCTTGCACTGACCGTGTGAAGAGTCTCACAGTCCGGCTTTGTGCCTGTGCGTCATGCCCAACTGGATCTGCTAAGCACGCTTCCGCTCATCGGTGCATGGAATCTGCTAGGTATGCTCCTGCTCATCGATGCGTGGGATCTGCCAGGTATGGTCCAACTCATTGGCGTGGCTCTCGCTCATTGACACGTAGGATTTGCCAGATATGCTCCCGCTCATAACACGTCGTGTCACGCGGCATCGCTCAGCATCTCCCCCTCTCTCTCTGCGTATGCTAATGTTGGCTATCACAATGGCATCAACAAGTACACTCCCACTAATCGGTGCGTGTTGCCAGGTACATTCCTACTAGGTACGCTCCTGCTCATCGGTGCGTGGAATCTGCCAGATACGCTCCCGCTCATCGACACGTGTGATGAGCCAGATATGGTCTAGCCATCGGCACGTGGGATCTGCCAGGTATGCTCTCACTCATTAACACGTAGGATTTGCCGGATACACTCCCACTCATAATGCGTCGCGCCACGTGGCATCGCTCAACACTCCCCTCTTTCTCTACCTATGCTTATGTGGCTGCCACGATGGCATCGGCATCAGTACTTCCATGCATGCGGTGTTTTCACTGTCTTCTTTTATCACTTGGTATCGTGCAGGCTCGCCAGCAAGACATGAAGCTTTCCTTTGATTTTTTTTTTTGATAATAAAGAGCTTTCCTTTGAATTAAACAACAATTATATATGTGCATGGACGTTTATTAGTTTTTGTATAGATAGTCCATGAGCTACCACACGTTGAGAAACTCATGAGAAAATGCATACAAAGAGAAAGGGAGGAGGAGGAAAAGAAAGAAACGGGTCAGCATAGCTGTCACCCCGTCCAAACCGTCCCCCTCCAGCGCAAAACCCCTTGCGGCCTGTCTGCCTGTCCCTTTCTCCTCCCAACCCAACCCACCTGATCATCAGATTCCTCCTCCTCTCTAACGATCATTAAGCCACCTCGATCACAGCGACGTTTTATATAGATCGAAGTGGACTGGTCCGCTTCCAAAAACCAGCCACGCACAGAGAGCGAGCGCACGGCGGCGTGCCGCGGCGCAGGGGCAAGGACGACAGCAGCCCGCGTCCCGCTCTCTGCTTGCAAGATCACCACCACCGCGCCAACAAGGCCGGCTTCCCTCCGCTTCTCGCGCGCGCGCTCGCGATGGCAGCCCCGGCGTCGTCGTCGACGACGACGTCTGGGTCGCCGGCCACTACCGCCGGCGGCGGGCGGCGGCCGTACCGGTCGCGGTTCGGCGACACGACGCTGATGAAGGTGTTCGTGGGCGGGCTGGCGTGGGAGACGCCCTCGGAGGGGCTCCGGCAGCACTTCGAGCGGTACGGCGACATCCTGGAGGCCGTCGTCATCACGGACCGCCTCACCGGCCGCTCCAAGGGCTACGGATTCGTAAGCCGCCGCTCGCCCGCTCCCATCCCACCACGCCACCTCTCCTCCCTCCCTTCCGCTTGGCGCGGTCGTGCACGTTTAATTTCTGAGGTGGCCGCCGGCCGTGTGCGTGTGTGTGCGCGCGCAGGTGACGTTCCGGGAGCCGGAGGCGGCGCGGCGCGCGGTGCAGGACCCGAACCCGACGATCGCCGGGCGGCGCGCCAACTGCAACATAGCCTCGCTGGGCCCGCCGCCGCGGCCCGCCCAGCAGCCTCGAGGTGAGTCACAATCACAAGGAATTGATGAGCCGCCGCGGGGAAGTCATGCGGGTGAGCTTGCCCAGGCTGGCCGTGTCAGTTCAATTGGGTTCGTGCTCCCCCTCCCCGTCCCCGGAGGCCGGAGGCCGGAGCCCCACTCCGCGTGGGCGCGTGGCGGTGCGCCCGTATCCTCTCGATGGATCGCCATTTTTTATTGCCGCAGCAGACCAACTGGCAGTTGGAACGGCAGTTTATGGATGGGCTCCTTGGATCGGCAGGCTTGCCTCGCCCGCCCCCGATTTCTTTTTGGTAGTCTAATCGGTAGGAGGAGTCTCGCTTTGACTGGACGCCTTGTTGATCGAGGTCGGTGTGTGGCGGCCAGTTCATCGGTGTAAAGTACGTAAAGGCCATGCCAATGGCCATGGACGGCCGGGGTGGCGGCGGTCTAGTCTAGTGGTACTAGTGGAGAGGTTTATCCTTTGGCCCCCGTGGATAGAAAACATATAGAAATAATACTCGGCCGCGTTGCGTCCTTTTTGGCTCGACCGATTTGGGGTTGGGGGTCAGCTTGCCGATGCGATCCCACTGCGCACTGTGTGCGTCCCTGACCAACTAAAATCCCCTGTTCGGCTGTTCCTCCGAGCACTAGCACCACGCAACGCATGCTTGGTTTGGTTTGCCAACTTGTCTGCGTTGCTTGGCGTTGCAGGCTTGCCAACAACAGACACCAGTACTGGTAGAAGGAAAGCCATGGCACGGGCAGACGTACACGCCTTGGCAGCAAAACTGAGTGCTTTTACTTACTTTTCAGTGCTGCTGTGTACCCTTGGCTTGTTGGCGAGAACTGAAAAGGAACGAGCGCGAAAACAGTAGACGAAGGCGACGAGCCGGCCGGCGACGCGAAGTCGCGAACCCACCCACCCAGTCAAAGCAGCGGCGCGCACGTCACATGGCTGCGGCCTGCACGCGCAGATGGAAACAACATCGCTGTCGGTTTTACCACCGGCCTTGCGCGCCCTCACCACCTGAATTCTCTGCTCTGCTCTCCGCAGGCCTCATCTATATTTTGTCTGTTTGGCGTCGTTCGTTTCGTTGCTTTCGCTTTCCGTTTCGCTAGCTCATGGCAGGTAATTGTTGTTACAGGCAGGGGTCCCTACGCGGGACAGGGACCCCACTTGCAGGTCCCGCAATTCATCCCCGGGGCGCCGGCCTCTCCCCAGATGATGCCCCAGCAGCAGCACGGTGGTGGCCTAGCTGCTATCTACCCGTCTCAGTTTGGGTCAGTGCCCTCCCCGTGCCATCTATACATTTCTTCGCTTCCCAAATTCTATCCCCAAATTGCTCAGATTCTTCATACAGGTACGGGTACAGATGATGGTAAACCGTTGGAAGTATATAGCAGTACTAGAATCATGCCCATGCGTTACAGAACATACTGCACTGTAATGCAACTCGTAGGCCCACTCACGACCATATAGTGTTTTATTACAGTTCAGAACTCTCAAAAGCCATTATTGTGTTAGAAGTCCGTACAGGTTCAGTTTGGGTGTTGGTCCTAATCGAACTCTGGTCGTCGTCGTCCATAGTACATGATGTAGCCCATGCAAATGGGGGCGGCAGACACGGCATCATCATCTAGGCATTCAACACTGAATCCCTAGATAAAGAGTTCGGTCCCCCACACACACCGTTGTTGTACTAGTGAGGTCTCTTTCACCATGCCTGCCCGGGTGTTTGCCTCCCGCGCCAACACTGATCTCTGCTGCTTATTGGTGCGCTACAGGGTTTAGTGCCTCCTGCATAACAAGCATTAAAACGCCATGTTTATTTTGGCTCTTTCACAAATCACAATCGTGCTACAGGGGCTACTGCCTCCTTCCTTCTTTGTTTCTTTCTAAATTGGCTTGATTTTTGTCAAAAAAAGCAGTGTTCTTTTTTAATAAAATTCCAGTAGAGGGTCAAATGCCTCCGGTTTCATAAAAAAAATGCGGTAGCTCATCCTTCCATTAATTTTTCTATACTTGAGAATAAATTAGAAAGGAGTACTAGTAATTGTTTTGTCTGAACTAACGCCCTGTTCGCTTGGGCTTGTTTGGCTGATAAGTCATGGCTGAAAGTATTATTGACTGATTTGGTGTGCTGTTCGTCGGCTGAAAAAGTACAGCTTATAAGCCAAACAAGCCCAAGCGAACTGGGTGTAAAAGAGTTAGGGTTGTGGTTATTTTTTTTCATTGCATGATGTAGTCATGGTTCTGGAGCTGGAATGTAGGTCAATGATATAGATTCTGGCCTTTACAGCCTTGGGGATGTACCGTACTACTGAATTATAGAGTGATAGTAGTGGATAAGTTGGGCCAGACGTGGGCAGGCAAACCCAAGCATGCTCTTTTTCCTGTCCAAAATCAGTCACTGAAGAAGCTCCACAAAACTTTTGCAGGTACTGGTACCCTCCTGACTTTCAATACCAACAGGTAAGCATGCTCCCCACCACCCTTCAATTCCCATCTCCTTTGCTTTTACCTTTTCCTCACATGCAAAACCGCCGGTGCCACTTGTCGTGCACATGCCTAGGCCCAGCCAGCTCCACCCTACATGCATGCAGCCATGAATTTCACTGTTTTAACACATGTATGACATTGACCACGGTCATATATATTTGGACTGAAAGCTTTGACTATGCTCGGCTTCCTTTTAGTATGATGAAAATCCACATTTAACATTACTGCTCTGTCATGTTGTTATTAGTTCATCATGTCTGATCAACTTGAGGCTAATTTGATATGTGTGCGATACTAATGATCAAGCAGGCCCTCGCCAATCCTCAAGTGCTGCAGAACTACTACGCTCAGCTCTATGGTCTGACCTCGCCTACGGCGGCGGCAGCCTACCACCAGTACCTCGGGTACGTGGCGCATCCGCCTCCAACGCCACCAAGGGCGATACTGCCACCGCCGGCGGCGGCGGCACAGCAGGTCGCCGTGCAACCGTTGGTGCAGCATCCGCCGCCGGCACAGCAGGTCACGGTGCAACAACCACTGCTGCAGCATCCACCGGTACAGATCCAGGCTTCTTTCTTTCCGGCTCCGTCGCTTTCGCACAACTTCAGGCTCCAGCTGCCGCCGCCGCCTCAAGCTATGCCAGTGTTGCCTCGCAACACAACAGGTGTGTATGTTTGCTTGTCACACACTAGGCGTGTTTGTTTTGTCAGGGCAGATCATCTTGTGTTCTTGTCAGTAACTGATGCCTATATTTGCTACTGAAATGTGGCAGAATCGCTGCCTGCTGATCAGGCCGCCGCCTCTGCAGTGCGTGCGACAAATGCGAGCAGTACTCCGGGTGCCTGATCAAGAAGGGTTCAAGGCCCAACTGAAGCTAAAGCATTGGATTCACCGTACCTTGAAATTAACTGACTTTTTTGGGCCGAAGAAAAGAAGTTTCAGTCGATCTGCTACGGACGAAGTTATTGATGGTCTGTAACAGTCTCTCGTCATGTTGGCTCCAAAACCAAACAGAAGACACATTTCCTTTTTCATTGTCCCCCGATTCTTTTCAGAGTTTCGGCGAAGCTCCTCCTTGGTGAATCCATTGTAAAAATCTAGATTTTGCGTCAACATCTAAGGATTTTTTTTTAATTTTCAAATGAACATCCAAGGATTTCTATAGATAAGTTTTGGAATTTGGATGCATGACATGCATCACATTTCTAGAATCGGTAGCAAAGGGGCGTTTTGCTCCCCTCAACTTATGGCTAAATTTGAAAAACACCCTCGAAAAGCCGAATATGATTCGCGTCCAGTAGTGGCTTAGCCCTGGAGTTTTTCTGTATTTGCACAACTCTTTCTACTTAATACAATGATACGCAATCCTCTTGCGCATTCAAGAAAAAAGAAAAGCCGAATATGGAACAGCTTAATCTCTTTTTTAACTTTCAAAACTAAACAAATTGTCCCTCTCAAATAGTTCAAAATGGTTTCGATGATGGATTTATGGGCTCTACATGTCTTCGGCTTTGATCATGCCATATTTCATTGGTTATTTAGGTTGATCTCAAATGAAAAAAAAATATTTAACCAGAAAGTTGTAGATCTATTCAAGCGCTACAAATTTGGTATTGAGCGTACTTCCATCCACGAAGGTTTGAAAAATTCAAAAATTGATTTTTCATAATCAGAGAACTTAAAAATGAATATTTGGGCATATAAAAATCTCAAATAGTTTTTATTTAAAAAGTATTAGAACTTATTGAGATCTATAACTTCAGTATAGACCTGTAAACAACTACTTCATAGGTAAATCAGACTTATAATATTTTTATAAAAATCGCCCTTAAATATAGATACCTCTAGAAATATGCTTTGAACGCGTCTAAAAATCGTCTAGACAAAAGCGATCGAGTTCCTTAGCGGCGGAAGAGGCCACGCCGGCCGCTTCGCACGGCCCACATGCAAAGGCCGAAACCAGAAGCCACCGCGTGAACCGCGGTGGTGGTGCACCGCGGCGCGTAACCACTGGGCCTGGCGCCGGCTGCCTGGCTCACACACGTCGCGGGACAGAAGCCACACGCGTGGGCCGTGATGTCGTCGCCGAGACAACCTCGGTCGGCCCTGGGCCCCCTTGGCTTCGGTATGCCACTCACTCGCGAAGCTCAACAGATGAGCGAGCCAGCGGCTATTCCGCGAATTTGAGAGCTTCACTTCACCAGTGAAGCTATTTTTTTTTTTTCAGCTCTACGAATAGGTCATCAGTGGAGGTGAAGCGGTTTTGATAAACTATTTGGTAAAATGGCTTCTCTGTGAGAGCATATTTTTAGGGGCCTGTAGGAGGAGCCGGAAGAAGCCACTTTTTTTTGGGCTCCATCCCACCTCAAATCACTGTGAGAGCATGTTTTTAGGGGCTTCACCAGTGAAGTTATTTCACTTTACCCCGTTTGGCAGAAAACGGCTTCAAACGGCTCTGAAGCCGGTGGAGAAGCCCTGCCAAACGGGGCCATAACACTATTCTAAAAAAACTGTAATAAAACACAACTACTCATGATGCGCGAGCTATAGCCGCTAGCTGTCTGCCGAGCGCCATGGCCGTGCTGCCGAGCGTCGTGGCCGGAGGAGCAAGAAGAAGATGGTAACATCGAGTTCACCTTCCCCACGCCGCCGCCGCAGCACCTCGGCGCCCGCGCCGCAAGGACTTGGCCCACCTCGCACACACAGTGCCCGCTCGTGGGCGTCCTTGTCCTCGATCCAGCGTAGCCAACTACGCTGCGTCTCCGTGGAGCGACCAGGTCCTGCTCGCCGACCGCCACCGCGGCTGCCTCAACGGCGGGTGCTCCCCTGCGCTCAGCGACTACAACGCTGCAGCCGACACCCTTGGCCCCTTGCCTACCTGGAGAGCAGCAGGGGACGTGCTGGCCGAGGAGGAGGCGGAGAAGGCCACAAAGCAGGGCTAACGGAGCCGGCTGCGAGATCCACTACGTGAAAAACACAGCTTACATCAACGAGGCTATTTTTAGACGGCGGGCATTGGTGTAGCCCCTACAGTGACATGTTCGGACTTCAGCACAGTAGGGGTGGCTGGTAATACGAGCCGCCCCTACAAATACCATACCCGTGGACTTCGCAATTCAGGTCCGCATTTGCCTCCACCCTCTCGGTCTGTCCCTCGTCCGCTCTCCTCTCTTTCTCCAACACCACCGTCCCATCCATCTCCCGTCGCCTCCCCCTCCTCTCTTCCTCCGACGACGCCAGCGCCCCTTCCTCTTCCACCATTGCGGCCAGCATCCCCTCCTCTACAGGCACAGCCACCACCCCTCCACCGGTGCGGCCACAACCCCCTCCTTTCCCCTCTTAGATCTAGATCTAGAAGGGTGGGGAGGTGGGGCTTCCATTGCGTCATGGCGTCCTCCCCGGATCCGTTGTTCACATCGCCGCCGCTCATGTCATGCCCGTTGTCGAGCCACCCATGTCGGAGGGCGCGGGTACCTCGTGTTCCTCCACCATCGCTGGTGCCGGAGGCACTCACAAGTCGTCGCTGGGAGCCACGGCGAGGGCGCAAGGGGTGGTGCGGGCTACGATGAGGATTAAAAGAAGGTCCTCTGCGCGTCGCTGCTCCATGTGGTTGCGATTTGAACCCACTCCTCCAACTTGCAGTTAGATCCATGTCCACTCAGGCGGGATCGATGTCCACTCTGCGGCTAGATCCATGTCCACTCAGGCAGGAGCGGCTAGATCCATGGCCGCTCAGGTCTCCTGTTGCTCTTGCGGTGGGGGACTCTACAAGGTTTTTTTTACCTTCCTGTTCCTGGTCGATTTTTGTACTAGCTCTGATATATGGTGCATCTATTGATATTTTCCTGTATATAGGATACCTTGTCCGTTGATTCAGGAGAAGGGATCCTATCAAGCACTGCCAATTCAAAGCACAGGTAATTTCTTCTACATGTTAGGCTATTCTATTTACATATAATGTAAAATTCATCTGCATTAGTGAAAGCAGTACACCGGTTTTAGATGAAACATGCCTAAGATAACTCCATAAGAAGTACTATTTAACATGTATTCCTCTTCCTGTTTGATTCTTTTACTATCCACTACTCTTGGATCCTCATTGCAATATTAAGAAGTCCACGTACCGTCTACCCCCTGTGTTGGCTGCTATTTCTAAAAGATAGCTTTTATTCATGAGGCTGCCATAATAATGTGCTCATTTTCGTGAGGAAAGACATGTTGGCTGTGTTGACATGAATCAGTTAGTACCAAGGAATGCGTTTTTAATCCACCATTTAAAATTCTTAGCGCCCTGTAATCACTAATTGGGAATCTTGAAAAAAAAAAGAAAGACAATTATTATGGTTATAATTGAAATTTATCACGTTAATTAAGTCTCTGTTATCTCTTATAAAACCATGAGAAGAGATGCATGTTGTATACACCATGGATTTTTAGTACAACCACATATGAAAAATTGTATAGTATACTAATATGAATGGGGGCATGTGAGTTTTAAGTCAACCAGTCAACTAGTGGTTATGACTAGTGGTTCTGTTATTAGAATTTTTTCACTGACTTTGATGTGTGACCAACAATGATGTGGATGATGACACTAATTAGAGAGGTCTGTGCACATATTTGAGTCTGAGTTAATTCTTTTTAATGTCCCAGGGTTGTGTTTGTCTGAGTGTCAATGTGGATGGCAATAGCTGCACGATTTCTGTTGGTGCTTTGAATGGTTTACTGAACATTATTTAAAATATCCAAGGTGACACTTTCTTGATTTTCTCTTAAACTGTAAATTCTCTGTCTTAATTTGACATCACTTTTATGGGGCTTTTGTGATTGATAATTCATTTCTTAATTTGTGTGCCTATGAACCTATCATTACAATCCGGCCTTGTCTTATTAGCATTTAGATTTAAAATAGATACAAGGAACCTGTAGTCATCAACTAATTATCAAGGAACCTATAGTGAATTTGACTTGCCTAACTATTTCTGTTTTCTGGATACAGGCATTACATTACTGCCATTCACAAGTATTATGCACCAAGATGTGAAGCCCCATAATGTTATGATAGATCATGAGCTTCGGAAACTCCGGCTGATAGATTGGGGCCTTGCTGAATTCTATTATCCTGGCAAGGAATATAATGTCCGTGTTGCCTCCAGGTAGCTGCAGATATGTGATAATGTGAGTGCGCAGCCTGAATATCTAGTTCAGGTAGGTTGCAAATCTTTATTTTTTTCATGATTTCAATCTTGTCAACTACACTTACATTGTATTCTGTATTTGTATCCCAAGGATATTTAACTATGGTCTTATGTTCTGTTTGCAGCTGCCCATATGGACATATGGAAAGTATAGTTAAGATGAAAGTACAGAAATGGTCCATGATGCTTACTATTCTCGACTATATCTTGCAAAGGTAACTGCACTCCCAAGAAAATTATATCACATAAACTGTCCTTTTTAATGCATTGGTCTAAAAAAAGTATTGCAGCATGACACCAGATAGGGAATGACCAAGACATTATTAGTTTTGACCTCAAGCCATCAGATGCTATCAACATTACTTAGTACTCGACATATTAGGTACAGGAAGCCACCACTCTGCCTTGTTATTAGCCTTACCTGTGTGTATGGGGTTGCTGGTGGCTTCTTTCCTAACATTTTTCTCTTTCCTAGCATCACATTGAGTTGACATATTGTTTCTCATATCGTTGGATCCATATTTTCTATTCGTGGGAATCATGTGTCTCGGAGCATTACCACAATGCTATGATATTCCTTATTTCAATTTACAAATTTCTTGTCTTATCAATGGCAAAGTTGCCCTGAAGTGTTACATATTCACTATCTTGATCTCCTTTGTCCTCTGTTTATAGGAGCGGGCTAATAAGATACAGTAAGATCTTGAGGAGCTTATGAAATCTTTGAATGAGCAATGCAAGATATATGGGTTGAGAGCTAAGCCAACTACTTTAGTGGAATTTCCTTCTGGTAATTTAGTCAGATATTTAGTGGAGCTTGTTTTGGTTGTGTTTCTTGTTTAAATGGATACTGTACACTAATTCCCTGTCTGTCAGCTATGAGCTAATGTAAAATACTTTAGTTAGATCTTACTTCATGTATATGAAATTGCTAATGGTAGTTTATATAATGCTCTTGTGCTTCTGGTCAGATTTGAATTATATATGCATATAATATGCTAATGGTAGTTGATTTGAATCATGTTATAATGTTCTGGTTGAATTTGAATTGTAAATTTAAATTTTTTTGGCGAAAAATGTACTGTAGGGACGGTTCTAGACTGAACCGTCCCTACAAACAGGTATTATAGGGGCGGCTGGTACTACAGCCGTCCCTACAAATCGATTTTATAGGGGCGGCTGGTGTTACCAACCGTCCCTACAAATCGATTTATAGGGGCGGCTGATAACACCAGTCGCCTCTATAAATCGATTTGTAAGAGCGGTCTGGGAACCGCCCCTACAAATGCATGATTTGTAGAGATGGTATGGTAGGGGCGGCTGGTCAAGCCACCTCTACAAAGCCTCACCAGCCGCCCCTAGAAACCATTCCTGTAGTAGTGATCTGAACTCCCACGCCGCCGACGCCATGAGTTCTCTGGTTAGCGAGCGGAAGTCCAAAAGAATTTGGATTATCCAACTTTTGTGTCCAACAGAATCCCAAGCTATTGGATGCACAGGGGAATAGATGTCCTTATCCAAGTGAGTCCAAATCCGATGAAATCCAAATGCTAAAATCTAATTGTTTTCTGGACTAAGCTCGATCCATTCCCATGTCTATGCCCAAATGTTCACTTGCTACCTAGCTTTGTTATTTAAAAGGAAAAAGTCTACATAACCGTCTCAACTATTTAGGGTCGACTACTTCACCCCTCAAACTATAAAATTGGATATTCTACCCCCTGAACTTTCCAAAACCAGTCAAATAACCCCCAAGAGGTTTTGGATGGTGGTTTTGACACCGTGACTGCTGACATGGATGACGACATGGCGATGGCCCACATGTCAGTCACCCCTCTCTCCTCTCCTGTGTCCTCTATGCCCATGCTGTTACAGGGCACGACATGGCCGAGCTTGGCCAACGGCCACCGAGGCTTCTTGGAACTGCGCCCCCTCGCCCCTCCGCCTCGCGCGCCTTTGTCACTGCAACGCCGCACCTCGTGCCCACGTCGCGCTCGCCTAGTACGTGAACGCCGCCGCATCGATGTCTCCTCTGCTTACGGCCGACCACGTAGCTGCCCCCAATTTGCATTCGTTTTGGCAAGGCCGACAGTGAAGGCGGAGCTGTAGCGCGTGCACAGACTCCAAGGGACGATGTTGAACCGATTTAGGGGCTCAAACAGGGGCAGCGATGACAGGGTGGGAGAACGCTCCGACGCACGATGGTCTAGGATGAGGCGTCGGAGAGGTGGATGGGGCGGAGGAGGTGCTGGTGGCCCAAGGAATTGGTCCGGGACAGCTCAGAGGCAGCAAATTTGGGGCGGCGGCGCGGTCGGCTAGAAGTAGAGGAGATGCCATTGTGGCGGCGTTCGTGCGCTGGGCGAGCGCGGCATGGGCACGAGGCGCATGACGTCGTGGTGATGAAGGCACGTGAGTCAGAGGGGCGAGGGGGTGCAGCGCCAAGAAGCCTGTCGGTGGCTGGTTTAGCCGACTCGGCCATGGCAGAGGGACGCAGGGACGCCGGCGAGGGTAGGGATTGCGTGCAGGAGTCGATGAGACAAGAAGCACCCATGGTTCCATAGAGTAGTGCAATCTGAGCTACAAACTTGGCTCGGATTCATCTCGCGAGAGGAGGCGAGGAACGGTGGCTCTAGCTCCGATCTGCCTCAAGAACTCCATGTTCCAGTTTGAGCTCTCGCCGTCGGCCACGGCCACCCTCGTCGTCCACTTCCACGCCGCGGCACGCGCCACCACCACCTCCAACGGCGCGGCTTCCACGCACTGCCCTAGCTCCACGGCTACCACGACGCCGTCTGCGCATGCCGCCACCACCTCCGACGTTGTGGCCACCACGATGCCGTCCGCGCACCAATGACGCCCTCTGCAGCCTCGACGACACCGCCGACAACGCCGAGGCGTGCCCACCACCACCGAGCTCCCGGAGCAGCAGCGTGCGCGTGTAGAGCCTGAGCGAGAGCACAATGACGACCGCACAGGCGCTGAGCACGCTCTGCATGGTGTAGTAGTTGGGCGCAACGTCAGCCCTGTCGCGCTGCATCTCCCGGAATAGGTCGAGCACGGTGAGGTGGTCCCTGTTGCTCGCTAGCGTGTCGACGGTGGAGTTCCACGACACGAGCGACCGGTCCAGGTCCAGGACGTGGTGGAAGATGGCAAGCGCGACGTCAAGGCAGCGGTAGGAGGCGTCCCCGCGAGCTTAGCGGCGAGCATGTTGATAGGTCCTAATATGGCTAGAGGGGGTGGATAGCCTATTTAGAAATCTATAAGATCACTAGAGCAATTTGATTACTATGACAAATAGTGAAATGCAAACTTGCTCTCGCTCTACTAGGGTTGTAAGCCACCTATCCAACAATTCTAGTTACCACAATCACTATACACACAAATGGCTAAGTCACTACTCGCTAAGAGCAAGCCACCTCGTCCACACAATTGGCTAAGCCACCTCGTCCACACAATTGGACACCGTAAGAACCTACCCACAAGTGAGGTAACTCAATGACATGAGCAATCCATTAGAGTTACCTTTTGGCTCTCCGCCAGAGAAGGTACAAGACCCCTCACAATCCTCGGAGCCAGCCACGAACAATCACCAACACGTGTCAAAGCTCATCCGCTGCTCCAAGCCATCTAGGTGGCAGTAACCACCAAGAGTAACAAGAACTCCGCACCCACAACAATCCCCAAGTGCCACTAGATGCAATCACTCAAGCAAATGCATTAGGAATCACTCTCAATCTCACTATAATGATGAATCAATGAAGGAGATGAGTGGGAGGTGTTTGCTTAGGCTCACAAGGATGTCAAGTATGTCAAAGTGCCAAGAGAGTCATCCCCAAGCTGGCCAAACACTATTTATAGAGGCCCCTAAAGGAATAGAGCCGTTAGGCTCTCACTCCATCTTTTCATGGGGCGACCGGACGCGCAGATGGGTGTGACCAGACGCAGACCCTAGCAGTAAGGTCGAGATGGCGACTAGAGGGGGGGGGTGAATAGTCATTTCTAAATTTAATCACGTCAGTTAACCAAAACAAATGTGGAATTAAAATAATTTGGTCTAGCCAAGACTACACCCTTCTATAAAAGTTCACAAGCACCTTATAAAGATCCTAGTTTGGCAACAAAGGTGCCGGGCTAGCTAGAGCTCACCTATCCAATTCTAGGAGCAAGATCACACAAACCTATGCCACTAGTATTTCAAGCAACGAGGGAGCTCCTACACATGCTAGTAAGCAAAAATACAAAGCCAACTAAGCTCACTAATAATGCTCAATAACAAGGCAATCAATGCCAAATTAGAGAGCGCAAATACTTAGCTACACAAACTAAGCAATGTGACTAACAAGGTTACACAAATCAACTTAGCCACGCAAGGGAGCTACTTCTATGCTACACAAGCAAGAAGGTAATTAGTGAGCTACACAAGCTAACTAATTACAAGATCAACTACACAAAGCACAATGTATATGAAAATAATTACAAGCTTGTGTAAGGGGATTGCAAACCAATGGGAAGAACAATGTTGACATGGTGATTTTCTCACGAGGTTCACGTGCTTGCCAACACGTTACGTCCCCGTTGTGTCGACTGCTCACTTGGTGGTTCATCGGCTAATTGGCATCACCCGCCAAGCCCACACGTCGGGCACCGCAAGAACCTACCCTAAAAGTGAGGGTAGCTCAATGACACGCTCAACTAGAGTTGCTCTTTGTGGCTCCCACGAGGTGAGCACAATGCCCCTCACAAAGCTCTTCTCCGGAGCACCGCACAAGCTTCTTGTGGGCTTTGACGGAGACCACCACCAAGCCGTCTAGGAGGTGGCAACCTCCAAGAGTAACAAGCACCACTAGCTTGCAACTCAATCACCTAGTGCCACTCGATGCAACCTCATGATGCAATGGCACTAGAATCGCTCTCTCACATAATCGGATGATCACTATCAAGCATATGTGAGATGGAGGGCTCCTAAGCACTCTCAAGCATGGACACAAAGTCCCCCAAGGTGATCCTCTACAGCCATGACCAAGACCACCTTCTATTTATAGCCCCACGAAAATAGAGCCATTGTACCCCTTCACTGGGCACAGCTCGGGGTGACCGGACGCTCCGGTCAGATCGACCGGACGCACCCTGCAGGCGTTCGGTCAACGAATACATGACACGTGTCGCCTCTGTTCAACCTCAGTTGCTTGATCTCAACCATCAAGTGATGACCGGACGCA